AAGTACAGTAAATGATACCTCACGCTCGTTGAAACGTATACACTTCACAGTCTATAATTGTTATCAAATCCCCTTTCTTAGAAATCAGTTAGCAAAGCTACACATATGTGTGTGTTGAGCTAAATTCTCTCTCATTTAATTCTTCATCAGAAGCCAATATAGCCCATGCCCTAATGAATTTTGCTGATTTTTCACTGAATTCCCTGAAATTTGTACATAGGAACATAATTACCACAAAGGATGAGACCCATGGTCCAACTAGTTTAGAATCTTGTCTCTGAGACAGAGACGAGCACCAGATGTATAAGAGGAAGATGCAAATGTAACCTACATCAAGGAGAGTAAGTCAGTTTACTTAGCAATTCTGTGCTGCAGAATTCCTCTACATGACGAAGTATTTGCACAGACCTGAATTCATATACTTGCGCGAGACTGCAGCTGGATTTTTATAGGAAACCTTTAAATACTAAAAGTGGAAATTATAAGAAGATTTATTTTCTCTCCTTCTAAGAATCCAATGCCAGTCTTTACCATAAGATGGCTATACACACACCACACAGACACCCGTATGTACACACACAATTAGCAGTTTCAAATTTCTTTTTACTGAATAACACTCCAAAGATAGGTTTCAGAGTAGCAGCCATGTTAGTCTGTATCCGCAAAAAGAAAAGGAGTACTTGTGGCACCTTAGAGACTAACCAATTTATTTGAGCATAAGCTTTTGTGAGCTACAGCTCACTTCATTGGATGCACAAAAGATAAAATACTACAGCACTCCAATTACAATGCACCCAAGCTGGGCTAACATCACCAACTCAAGGTTTGTTATTTTTCTTTAAAATGAAAAATATAACATGGGGCCTATATCCCACTATCTGTCTGTCAAACTCATTGGGTCTTCTAATAATCAGAGATCTTCTGCTTTCACATATGTTCCCCCAGGATATTTTATTGAGAACTAGATAAAACATTTAATTGTCCCCCATAACTAAGTGTTTCAGCATCCCAATATTGAGTGCATACAGAACTTTAAATAAAACTGACAATTACTGTAATTGCTAGGCTCACATGGTGTCTTTGGTTCAATGATGTGATGCAACTTACAGAACCACTTGGCCTCCAGTCTACAATTCCTCCTTTGTGGTGTTTTCCCAGTCTCAATCCCACTGACTTCTGTAAAATTCCAGGGAACTGTATTGAGATCCAATCTACAGATTCAGTCTGGGTTATGCCTGCAGCTCGATCTTCCTCCTCCAAGGCTGGGCTGGATCTGAGTGGTGCTAAAAATGGCTGCCAGTTTCATAGCCCTGATAGAACTCTCTATTGACTCTTCAGGAACTTCCAGATTCTCACTGTGTATGTGTGTACATCCAGAAATGTCTGCCCTTAACAAAGCCTTCCACACCACCTTCAAAACAGCTAGAGAGCATGGCTAACAAATTCCTGCACCCCCTCTTGTGTGCTGAAATTGGTACTATTTGCTTAGTCACTTAAGCATCTATACTGCCACCTTGCATGGGAATGTTACCATATCAACTCAGAGCAAATAGAAACATCACCTGTAATTACACCAATACTTTTTTTGGGTGCACACAGAAAAGAAAAGAAAAGAAAAGAAAAGAAAAGAAAAGGGGGTCACACAAGAGACCCCATAGTGGGCAGTTATGGCATAACCTGCTTAGTCTCTTCCTAACTCCCTTAGTTAGAAGTTGACTTATTCTTTGAAGCATGAGGTTTTCTCAGTATCTTTCTGGTGCAAGAATGGAGTGAAACGAACCACCTTCCCAAAATATTTGGATAAAGTCCATGGCAATGGTCTTCCCGTTACTGTCTGAAGAAACAAGTCAAAGACAGTGTGTTCAGATACCACAGTCATGTGTGGGCTTAAGAACCCAAATAGAATTGAAAGATGATTCACAGTAATGCTTGTCCAGTGCCGGACATTCATTCCTCTTGCACCGCCAATGTTTTTGTTTGGAGAACACTGCTCCTGCAGACCAGTTCCTGCCATTTGTGAAGCGAAGGTGGCTATGCTGGGAGGAGTGGTAAATACGCTGGAAGGTAGGATTAGGATACAGTGGGACCTAGACAAATTAGAGGATTGGGCCAAAAGGAACCTGATGAGGTTCAACAAGGACAAGTGCAGAGTCCTCCACTTAGGCGGAAGAATCCCATGCAGTGCTACAGGCTGGGGATCGACTGGCTAAGCAGCAGTTCTGCAGAAAAGGACCTAGGGGTTACAGTGGACGAGAAGCTGGATATGAGTCAACAGTTTGCCCTTGTTGCCAAGAAGATTAACGGCATTTTGGGCTGTATAAGTAGGACGATTGCCAGCAGATCAAGGGACATGATCGTTCCCCTCTATTTGGCATTGGGGAGGCCTCATCTGGAGTACTGTGTCCAGTTTTGGGCCCCACACTACAAGAAGGATGTTGAAAAACTGGAAAGAGTCCAGCGGAGGGCAACAAATGATTAGGGTGCTGGAGAACATGATTTATGAGGAGAGGCTGAGGGAACTGGGATTATTTAGTCTGCAGAAGAGAAGAGTGGGGGGGAGGGGCGGGATTTGATAGCTGCTTTCAACTACCTGAAAGGGGGTTCCAAAGAGGATGGATCTAGGTTCTCAGTGGTAGCAGATGGCAGAACAAGGAGTAATGGTCTCAAGTTGCAGTGGGGGAGGTTTAGCTTGGATGTTAGGAAAACCTTTTTCACTAGGAGGGTGGTGAAGCACTGGAATGGGTTACTTAGGAAGGTGGTAGAATTTCCTTCCTTAGAGGTTTTTAAGGTCAGTCTTAACACAACCCTGGCTGGGATGATTTAGTTGGGGATTGGTCCTGCTTTGAGCAGGGGGGTTGGACTAGATGACCTCCTGAGGTCCCTTCCAACCCTGATATTCTATGATTTTATTCTATGCCTTCTGCCACCTCTCTCAGGCTGTAATCTGCAAGCCTGTGCCAGGGCGTGCTTTTTGAAAAGTAGAGAAAAAATGAAAAATAGATGAGTAACACTGTACAAAGACGAGGTAAGTAAGAGGAGAGCTGTCCCTCCTGACTCAAAGTTGAACATTTTTTCAGCTTTGCTGCACACCTCATTCTCACCCCTGTTTCATGGCTGTCAATAATGGAAGTTTTCTCTTCTTTCTCTCTAATTGTCTCTGACAAGCATTTGGAAATCTTTCCTGTGAGAATCTGCCTGTAGTATTCTACGTTGGTTTCAGACTCTAGGAGAAAACTGGACAATCTGGCATCCAAAGATTTTAAAAAGAGCCAATATGCAGGCCATAAGTCAGTGGATAAGAAAGACACTTCAGGAGGAGTAGGGCAGGATAGACTTCTATTAATAAAATCAAGAAGTCCTCTCACATCTTCTAACAGTAGGTGGGAGTTTCAGCTCGAAGTTCATGCTTTTATGACAGAGTTCTCACTGGCACTCTGTAAACTGCTGACCAAATTCTCCACCTTGATTTCAGTGGGGTTGAGTGAGAGGAGAATTTGTCTGCATGTTAATATATGGATGGTTGCGTATGTGGGAGGGGGGCGAGGGAAAGGTTGTTAATTAAATCTGAAGATGAGATCCTGCTCTTTGCAGCTGAATTAAAAATGAAATAGCAATTGAAGTTTAATTAGTGTCTTTGCTTACTTGTGCATTCAAACTTGAAAGATGGCTTAAGACTTGGTCATAAGCTCCTGTGGCTCGGAGATGATTATGGAGTCTGAGTGCTATGTGTCACATGGTGTTATCAAAGACCCCACGCTACAACTGAGACATTTATGCTGTAGATAACATAAGCATCAAGCAAAATGCTGCGCCAGATTCAGAAGTGATGTAACTTATTGTGTGAGTATGCAGGTGGAAAGAGGACCTGTTCCAGGAATCCAGGGCTGGCTGGAAAACAACAATTTTCTTTCATGAAAAATGTCAAGGTTTTGAAATTGTTTTTGTTCAAATGCAGAACAGGAGAGAGACCCCAGACTAGCCTGGTGGTTAGGCCACCTAGCGGTCCAAGACCATTGTCTGAATCTCCCTCATCTTCCACACCACTAGGTTACTGTGGAGTTTTCATCTGCCCACAAATACCATCCTAGACCTGACAAACCTTCCTGGCAAAATGTTCATTGAAACGAATACATTTCCACAAATTGGTATTTTTTCAACCAAAATAAAGTTCATCATTTTTTTTACCAGCTGTAATCAGTAACTCCCATTGGTTTCAGCAGACGTAATGATTGCTCATTAACTGTGAGCAGTTACTCATTACTGGTTAATTATGAAATAACTATGCATGTCCTGAATTGGGATAAAAAAAGAGCCCAGGGAGTCTAAGTAGGGCTAAATGAGACTTAAAGGAACCTAAACTGATGATCAGAGTGGTCCCTCCTGGCCTTTATATCAATTATGTTGTGGTATCTTACACAAACAGAGGCTGGGGAATAGGTAAAGTGGGGTTATTTTGGAGGGGAGTTACTGTGATTTTTCTTATTTACACCATTGTGATATTTATGCTTCTTGGTGTCCTTCACTTTTCCAGTCCAAAAGGCCAAGATTTCTCATACTTCTACTCACATTGCTCTGGAAGCAGTCTCACTGATTTCAGCTATGCTTGGAGTAAGGTTGGGATTAAAGGCTTTGGGGGTTTAAGCATCCAAAGCCTGTTGGATGTCAATGGGATTTGGGCATCAAACTCCTTTTATGCCCTCTTTGAACATCCCATTCTAAGAGTCTGCTCTGTGTGAGCAAGGGTGTCAGAATTTGGCCCATCAATTCCTTTATACACACCTACCATCTCTTGTTTTCTCTCTCTCTCTCTCTCTCTCTCCTCCCCTCCCCCACCTCAATTTTGGTGAGTCAGTGGAAACTCAGGTAAATCTGTGGATTGCGGCTGTAGTAAATCAAACTAATTACTTTTGCACTAAGAAAGAAAATATCTACAATGGATGATTTTTTTGTTTTGTTTTGTTTTTTGATTACAGACTGCTAATACATCTTTACTTAATCGCTGTCCTAAAATGTGATTCCTTTGATGGAAGAGGTAAGCTGAAGCAATTGTGGAATCTTTTCCCCTCTCTAGAAACCTAGACTAGAAACCTATTTACAATGCTAAATCATTAGGGTTACTCCTTGTCCAAAAGCCAGAGACTGTAAATCTGTGCCAAGCCTCTTAATCTGTGCCAAGCCTTCTTTGTGGAATAGTATTATACAGCCAAAGAATAGCTGCACTGAATGATTTTCTCCTATAAATACCATTTAATGGCATCTATATTTATGCTCTTTTCCTACTGCTGCTTCTGTCAGCTGTTGATCCTAAAAATTTTGCCTGCAAGCTGATTTGCGTGGGTGGCCCTTGCACCTCTATGGATCCCCATTTGCTTCAATCAAACTGGCAAAGAGACAAAGACAGTGTGGTCTAATGGGGTTCTGTTCCTAGCCTGGCCACTGACCTAGTCTATGATCAGAGACAAATCACTTCAGTCCAGATTCTCAAAGGTATTTAGCCTTGTAACTCCCATTTATTTCAATAGGAGTAAGATAACTAAATATCTTGAGGAACTTGGTCTTCATCTCTTTGTTCATCTGTTCCCTTCCCACCCTTTGTCTATTTAAATTGGAAGCTCTTTAGGGCATGGACTGTCTCTAGCCATGTGTGTACAATGGATCCCCAATCGCTATCAGAGACTCTGGCTGCTTTAGAAATACTGGTAATTACAAAGGTGTAGCGGACAGGGTGCAACACAAGTACAGCATTCCAGGTGACTGTTGGCCTGAGATACAATATTTTACTAAGTCATTGCTTTTGTTTATTAGGTAAAATAAATAGATTATCCTGAGATGTCAACAGTAATATGAGAATATCAAACTAATTGACATAATTTGTTTCTGTCTTTCCACCAAGGGGTTAAAGTTAGGACAATGCAAAGGGAAACTATTATGCAGAGTAAACTTAACATATGCAATTTAAAACTGTAGCAATTGTTTTTGGTCAGTTTCTTGCAATCTGCAAGGTAATTTTTTTCAATTTATTTGGAATTAGTCAAGTGCACCGTTGAAAAGGCAGAGTGAATTGATGTTAAATAGTTTTTGGAAGATGTAATTGTCTGATGATTTGTAAATAGCCAAGCTTATCAAAAAAGTAATTTAAATGTTATGCTGACAATTTTGTTCACTTTGGTGTACTCTGTAAACTTGTGATTCCAATTTTTAGCCCTCATTAGCATCAGAATTCTCTTTGCACTGCTAAATCATTTAAGGCATTGAGTGTACCCAACACATCTAACTCTGAACTTTTACTGATCCTTCACCCAGCATACTTAAGTTATATTCAAGAATCAAAATTGCTTTTGTTTTCCAAAGCCCGCAGTGAGTCAGGCACTCTAATAACATTTGGTCAGAGTGGTATAAGAACAGGACTAGAAAAGAAGTAGAATTTTCTAGGCTGGAATGTATGTTTACATTATTGCCAACTCCAATAATTTAAAAAAAATATGAGTCAGGCTCCAAAATTATGAGATGTCCTTAAAACTAATGAGATTGAAATAAAAAGTAGTAAATGTTGGGTTCCTTTATTTGCCTTTTGATTCTTGAGCCTGTGGGGAGGTCTCTTCAGTGGTGTAACTAGGAATGGAAATTTGGGTGGGCCCCAACTTTCAGTGGACAGGCAATGACTAAAGATCTGATATCACAGCACTTCAGAGCTTCTCAGGTGGGTAACCAGTCCCGAGGCCCCCCTGCCCTTTCCTGGCAAGGGCGACCCTGAGGCACTCTAACCCTGGTGGTGGGGATGCTGTGTGTGTCACTCCTCATGGCTCCCCACACCATCCCACCTACTTCAGATAGGGCTGGGCCTGGACTGGCCTTTCCTTCTGCCCTGGGCACCAGCCAGAGCTGTCCAGCACCACCCACTGAAGAGGCACTGTTGCCTGGTACAGGGGGAGATGCATCAGACCTGTCTACGTCAGAGCTTCCCTGCCACTGTGCAATGGAGACTGAGCAGCACCCCTCTCCCTGGCTCTGTGTGAGACGGAGACTGGGCTCTGGGGGGCCGGGGAGAATGAGCACCCTCCTGGCAACCGTGCAGCAAACTGGTGGGGGTGGCAGGGGGTGAGGACATGGGCTGACAGATTTGGGTGGGCTTGGATGCTAATTGGGTGGGCCTACCCACAGTTAAACATAGGTCATAATTTCATGCTTTTCTCTGCAACCACGAGGACTAGAAATGTACTTTTCTTAAAAATGAATATTGGATTCACATGTAATCAGAAGATCTCAGGAGCTGGAAGTTTAAGAAAAATACCAAATAGCATGAGATGAAATGACAAAATTGTGTTTTCCTCAAAATGGATTTTTTTTATTTTGAAAGTTTTCAGTTTTTTGTTAAAAAAAATCATGGAAATTGATATTTTTTTTAAAAAAATCAACTTAAACTGAAGCAATTATTATATCCCTGTGACAATGCATCTGCACTGGCCAGAGAGTGAAGGTGATGGACCAATGCTATGGCACTCAGAATCTGTTTAGCTCCTTACAAAGAAGATTAGGAGGTGACTTGATTATATTATATAAATACTGTCACTCAGAGAAAATACTGGTTACAAATGGATGCTTAATTCATTCAGTGGATAAATACAAAGCAAGAATCAACAGCTGGAAGCTGAAGCTAGACAAATTCAAATTAGAAATAAGCCCCTTTTTTTTAACAGTGAGAGGGATTAACCACTGGAACGAACTACCAATGGATGTGGTAGCTTCTCCATATCTGGATGTCTTCAGATCAAGACTGGGTGCCTTTCTGGAAAGTATGCTTGAATTAAACACAGGTTACTGGGCTCATTTCAGGGATAACTGGGTGAAATCCTCGGGTCTGTGTTACATAGGAGATCAGAGTGGATGATCTAATGGTCCCTTCTGTCCTTAAAATCTATGCATTTGTTCCCTGCCCTTTTCTCTCCATTCCCTTCCTATTTGATCTGGTAAGGGAGAAAGCTGGCATTATAGTACCCACTTACTCCTGCATGCCTGGAACAAAGGTCTGAGTAGCCCACACTGATGTATAAGGGAATTTCTTACTTCCTCTTACTCCATGGCATGGACTTGTGGTCCAAGTGTCATTCTAGCCATCTGAATTTAAATAGTATTCAAATGCATTATTATTATTATGAGTTATGGGCATGAGGCTCACTCCAGACCACATTTAGCTTTTCTACCAATATCGCAATAGAGCTATATACGCCAACCACCCTTGCTTTTTTTTAACTTTGACCGTGTATTTCAATTAGTTGGCTGCATCTTCCCTTTTTCCCCTTTCTGCTTTTCATTTATTTATTTATTTGCCAGGTTAGAAATGCAATGGAAGGAAACCTCATGAACCACAGGTATACTGCAGGCACCGCTGCTCGGCTGCTGTGTTCGACTGCACTGAAGAAAATGAATCTTTTCAAACAGGTGAATTTTCCAGCAGAAATGGACCAAACAGATTCAGTTCATTGAATAGAAAATGTAATGGTGATCTAAACCTATTACCTTCAAAGAAGTCTGTGACATTTTCTTCAAGCATATTGATCTGCTAGAGAGACAGAGAGGTGGGGGACCGAGGGGAAAAAGAGAACTTTATTTTTTTACTCATTGTGTTGCGTCAGTCATTGTAATGCTAGTCACAATGTATAAAAGACTCCTTGAATCACAGGGTTTTTGAAGAAGCCACAATAAATGATTTTACAAGGCAGCAGTAAGAGTCTGTTTATAATCAATTGAGTATATTTTGAAATAGCTAAAAAATAAATCTAGATTTCCCAGTTTCTCCCCTGACATTCTAACTTGCTCAATAACCAAACCCATTTCAACCCAGCATACCTATCACTTGTCCAGTGGTCCGTTCTTTCTTTTCAATCTGTAGTACCTTTCAGGTTCTTAATCACATTTCCCACCTCCACCCCCCCTCTTTCTACTAGGCTGTTGATAGAAACTGAGCTAATTTCAATTCTTATTTTACCTAATTTGGATTGGCAACATGTCCTATGGGGGCGGGGAGAGAACAACATCAGCCTGTTTCTGGCGTATTTTCTAGTTTTTGTTTTAGAATCATGTCTCTAGAGATTAGCAAAGCTGCAGAGAATTCTACTTCATTGTAGAAATGTCACTTCAGCTGTTGTAGTTAAGGTTATGTCAGTGCTTCCATTATAATAGAACCTCTCTATTTTACTGAATAAAATTTCCTTGTATATGAAAATTTGTAGTTTGAATGTAACTGAATTTAAGTTTACCATACTTTAAGGTAATGGAGATGCAATCTTTCCATAGCATAGATCCATTTTGGAATATGCTGCATATATTTTGCATTTAGAGACTGTTAGTAAGACATTCAAAGTAACACTTTGCAGGCAACATTACCAATATAGGTAGAAGATGCATTAAAATCCCTTGGTGGGATAACAGAGCTAGTAAAGTTCTTTATTATTAACATAATATTGAGTCCATTTATTTTGGCATTATCTTAATTTGATCCATTTTCCTTCTTGTTCATGGAATATAGAGGTGTTGTTTTTTTCCCTTTGTGCCAGTGCATAATACTAGTGCATTTTGTTGTGATCTGAATTTTATAATCTTGCCTATTACTTACAAGCAATCTGCTGCTCCAGTTGTTCCTAGGTGTTTTTATAAACTAATTTAACATCTGTTTGTACTATATAATTGTATCAACTTACAAATGGCCAATAGAACTTAGCATTGCTAAGAATTACCATGCAGATAAATGGAGTTACATTAGTAATTATAAAAATACCCAAAAACAAACAAACCAAAAACCTCTCAGTATTTCATGGTAAACTTGGTAAATAAACTCTGTTATCAGGATGATGTTATTTTCTATAGGGCTTCTGCATTCAATTAACAAGAAAATATAAGCCATGTGCTTTTTAATATAAATTAAATCATAGCTGAATTGAGTTAAAAATAACAAATAATTCTTTATCCGTAATATGATGCCAGGATCTGGAGATGTATATAGTACATGTTGGAAAGTGAGCAAATTAAAGGGAAGCAGAGAAACTACTCGGAATCATTAGAAATAGTGAATTAAGAAACAAAGCCAATAGGCATGCCTGGGTATTACTGAGAGCAGAATTTAGCCCCAGATGTGCAAGCCCAAAGCATTCAGTGTATGTGCGACACCTCCATAAGACTTGCTTACTTATGTTGGCATATTTAATAGGAAAAACATTTAATGATACTGGTCTTCTCTTGCACATTTTGTTCAGTACCGGACTGGACTATGGTCTCTAAATATTTGACAGCTATTCCAACTGTATAATTCTTAAGGATTATATTATTAATAGTAATAAGTAGTAGTTCCTAGAGATCCCAACCAAGATTGGGATCCCATTGTGCTAGGTTCTGTACATACAGAAGCAGTCAGTTCCTGCCCCAAAGAAATTACACTCTAGCTAGACAAGACAGACAAAGAGTAGCAGAGAAAAGGAAGCATTATTATCCCAGTTTGACCGATGGAAACTGAGATAAAGAGAGAATGGTCAGACAGGAACTCTGTGGTAGAGTTAGGGATTGAGCCCTAAACCCTGACTCTTAGACTAGGGTCTTAACACAAGAACACCTGTCCTCTCACTAAGTGCAGTCCTCATTAAGCAGGTATATTGTGATCAGTGCAAGGATAATTCCACAGTATCAACAAAGAATAGGAAGTTGTTCCATGGCCATTTTCCTTGCTGAATTTCCTCCTCAACTTTTTGGTTGCTGTTTATGGCCAAAAAGGAAGGAAGGTGGCCAGGAAGTACAAGACTTTTTCACCAACTAGGTGTTTGAATTGTCATATTCAGAGATTCGGGAGTGCTCTATGGGATTAGAAAAATGAGGGAAGGTTTGGGATTTTTTTGCAGCTGGGTGGAGGGAAAATGTTGAGCTGACAGGGAGAAGGGAACAGCATAGGGAAAAGAGAGAAAATAACTAATATTTCTTGGTTCCTGTTCTTTGGCTTCTAATGCTAAGGGTGAAGCGGACCCACTAATTAACCCAATATGAGTTAAAGTCTTCAGTGCCAAAATGCAATGAAAGGCTGTGAAAGAATGAGCCACAATTCCAGTATTGGTGTTGTTTTTTGTAGAGTTCAGTGATATTCACTTACTGGAAGCCTGTTTAAATAATGCTAACCTCCATGTTTTGTCCAAAGGGACAGACCGTTTTTAGGAGTCAAGCTCATTGTGGCAGACTACCTGCACCACTGTGGGAGCATGGAGGGGAGGGCAGGAAAACTGCCCTGGAGGAAGCTGGAAGAAGTGAGATACTATGGATGGCACAGGAATGTGGGAACTGTTGGGCCTTTCAGCATGACAGGTGATCTTTACCTCTTGATGGGATATAGAGTTGGACAGTCAGGGGAATACGGTCTAAAGGAGTTCAGGGAAATCCATTTTAAGAAGGAACACCAAGAGAAGTGATTGTCAGTATCTGTCAGTCTTATTGCACTGGAGTTCTGTTCAGCTTCTGAAGTGTCTCTGTGTATTTCTCCCGTTGCTTCCTTCCTTCCTTCCTTCCTTCCTTCCTTCCTTCCTTCCTTCCTTCCTTCCATTGAGCATGTAACAGCAACAAGTGTCCAATGCTCTACCAATTCAATCACTTATTAATGAAGCACATTTTTTGGTCTTTTACTGAAAAGGAATGTGACTATAACACAGGATAAAGTAGCTCAAAAGCCAATTCTTGTGAATGGATTAATGGAAAACTTGACCACAGAGGAGTGGCAAAATTTGGCCCAATTGAAGGTCACCACTGGCAACTACAGCTGGCTGAAAGTTTTCCATCAAAAATTCAATTTTGTTGATATTGAAATGTTTCACGGGAACATGTTGATTTTGTCAAAATTTCCCATGGGAAAAAAGTCTATGCAAAATCATTCTAACTTTCCTGCTTCATTTTGATGTTGAAACATTTCACTTCAATAAGACAAAAACGTTTTGTTTCAATTTTATTTTTGGTTAATTTCATTTAAACTTCTATATTAAAATATTTTAATGTTATGTACAAATATAATTGACATCATATGCAATATAATATAAAGGTCAAAGCAAAATATATTGAAGAAATACAGCTGAAATACATGTTTTAAAATGAAGTGATTTGACATAATCAAAAGAAAATATTTTAATGGTCCCTGTCATAAATATAAAGGGAAGGGTAAACACCTTTAAAATCCCTCCTTTCACCTGTAAAGGGTTAAGAAGCTAGGATAACTTCGCTGGCACCTGACCAAAATGACCAATGAGGAGACAAGATATTTTCAAAAGCTGGAGGGGGGGAGAAACAAAGGCTTTCTCTGTCTGTGTGATGCTTTTGCTGGGGACAGAACAGGAATGGAGTCTTAGAACTTAGTAAGTAATCTAGCTAGATATGTGTTAGATTCTGTTTTCTTTAAATGGCTGAGAAAATAAGCTGTGCTGAATAGAATGTATATTCCTGCTTTTGTGTCTTTTTGTAACGTAAGGTTTTGCCTAGAGGGATTCTCTATGTTTTGAATCTGATTACCCTGTAAGGTATTTACCATCCTGATTTTACAGAGGTGATTCTTTTTACTTTTTCTTTAATTAAAATTCTTCTTTTAAGAACCTGATTGGTTTTTCATTGTTCTTAAGATCCAAGGGTTTGGGTCTGTGTTCACCTATGCAAATTGGTGAGGATTTTTATCAAGCCTTCCCCAGGAAAGGGGGTGTAAGGTTTGGGGAGGATTTTGGGGGTAAAGACGTTTCCAAGAGGGCTCTTTCCCGGTTATATATCTGTTAGATGCTTGGTGGTGGCAGCAATAAAATCCGAGGGAAAACGGAAAATAGTTTGTACCTTGGGGAATTTTTAACCTAAGCTGGTAAAAATAAGCTTAGGAGGTTTTCATGCAGGTCCCCACATCTGTACCCTAGAGTTCAGAGTGGGGAAGGAACCTTGACAGTCCTGAATCAAAATTTTTCAGAATTTTCATTTCACAGGTAATTTTAGATTTTCTTTCTGACACAGAACAAAAAGAAACTTCAAAATGTTGGAATTTCCTCTGGAACAGAAATGTCAGTTTCCAACCAGGTCTATTGACATCTTCTCAGGAGTTAAAAGGTCAATAACAAAAAGGCAGGGGATTATTCTGGGAAACTGGATGGGTTGGTTTCTATGGGCCATTCTTCTCTATTATAAGCTATTAGTAACTGCAGATTTCATTACAAAACTCCATATATTTAGTATGTTTCATACTTGGTCAAACTACATATTCAGGGATATTTTTAATGAATGAGTGGTAGAATCTGACTAACTAGATGCTAGGGGTTGGACTGAGTGGTCCCAGACCTCTCCTTATGAATTTACTATCTGTGATTTTTTTTTATACCATGATGAATACAATTGAAACAATGTACCCAGCCCAATATTTACAAAAAGCCTGACATGATACCTGTGTGGTGGGTTGATGAATAAAATATTTATGAACTGTACTAGCAGAAGTTAATTAATGGCCATTCTCTACTGGTATGTGGCAGTGCAGGGTAATGGCACCTCTAATATGATACATTCATATACAAGAGAATCTAGGGGTAGGTCTACACTACGAAATTAGGTCAATTTTATAAAAGTCATTTTTTTAGAAATTGATTTAATACAGTCGATTGCGTATGTCCCCACTAAGCGCATTAAGTCGGCCGGGTGCATCCTCACTACCGTGG